TTCCCGATCTTCAGTTCAGCAGCATCAGTGGTGAGTCCTCATTCTTCGAGGACTAGTGACATGTTTATCTTTATCGCTTTTAGTCTTTAGTTTCAGTTTTGCTAGATCTAGTTGGGGCATGTCCCAATATTTCTAGTCAGTTTAGAGGCTTATTTCAGACATAGATAGATTCAGCTTAGTATTGGGTTAATATCTTCCTTGTATTAAACTCATCAGTTTTCATTTATCTCAGTTATAGTATATGGGTATTCCCCATCTTTTCATCTTATTTATGATTTAGCTTTCGCATAGTTTCTATTATTCAGATTATATTTAGTATGCTCATGATCATGCCAGCACGGTTAGCTTGGGATCACTTGTGGTCCTAGGTCCCGTATCCGCGTCTCGGGATAGCTCGGGGCGTGACAATAATAAATATATTAAAAATTATATGGAGAAGATATTCTTATTATGGTTGTTAAATTCATACCACAAATTTTTTTTTCCAACTAAAATTTGAGTTGATCTAAAATAAATTAGTCAAAAATCTTTCATTTCTAGGTTATAGCCACTTTCGGGACTTGTGGTTATCAAAGAGAAAATGTGTACTCATTGTGAGGTTTGATGTTTTTATGAATTTTTATAGGTATCAAAGAGATTTTTCTTTGTCGTAATTTGTTTATTTTTCACTTGGCCTAATTTTAATTAGGTAAAAGAGTTCTCGTATCTAGGTGTTTAAGTAGGTGATGGGTTGGAACGTGATATTTTAATTATAATGTCTTTGAATTTACGGGAGATTGCTGGTAATTTTATTTATGAGTGGTAGTGTAAAGTCAAAAATTTATTTCCTCGAAATCAAGTTCATTTTCTGAAAATTAAAGTTAGTCAAGGTCCATTTCTTTAAAATTAAACTTAGTCAAGATTTATTCTTCCGAATTAATTAGTTTTGTTCCCTGAAATTAACGTTGGTCAATATATATTCTCCTGAATTAAAAGGCATTTACTATTCAAACTTTATCATCTATCTATATATACGTGTTGAGATTTCTCTTGTCAATATAGAGAAATTCCTCTCTTCTTCCTCTTCTTCAACAACGTTTTCTAATTGCTCTCTTCTTTTTCAAAGTTTTCTTTTCTTTTTATTTTTCTAGGTATCTACATAATTTTAAAACTTTCAGCTATTAGTGCACGTGTTTGAAATGAGTTTATAATCCTGATTCTAGAACACACTTTTGTTCGCTTCTTGCTGCTCCTGCTAATGTTGTTGCTATCTCCTCTTTTGCTCTTTTGTGTGCGTGCGTACGTGTGTATTTATTATTAAATAACGTGATACACATGTGCAAAGCACGTACATTAAACTAGTACTATATTGAAAACACGAAGGTCCTTAGAAATATTATTTAAACTTTTGCTCTTCATTAAAAAAACTCGCTTTAGACAAAATAATCTTTTCACATTTTTTCTACAATTATGATATCATTATTTTAATGATATTAAATATTAACTATAATACATATTAAAAGTTACATGGAGAAGATTTTCTTATTATGATTAAATTCATATAAGGAAAATTCTTTTCCAACTAAAGTAGACTTGATCTAAACTAGTCAAAAATCTTTCATTTTTAGGTTTTAGCCATTTTTGGGACTTGTGGTAATCAAAGAGAATAAATATGTACTCACTGTGAGGTTTGATGTTTTTATGAATTTTCAAAGGTATTAAAAAGATTTCTTTTGTAGTAATTTGTTTATTTTCCAAATTGCCTAATTTTAATTGGGTGAAAGGGTTCTTGTATTGTATGTGATGGATTGGGTTGTGACATTTTAATTATATTGTCTTTGAATTTACGGGAGATTGCTGGTATTTTTATTTATGAGTGGTAGTGTAAAATCAAAAATTTATTTCCTCGAATTAACCAAGTTCATTTTCTGAAAATTAAAGTTAGTCAAGGTTCATTCCTTTGAAATTAAACTTAGTCAAGATTTATTCTTCCGAATTAATTAGGTTTGTTCCCTTAAATTAACGTTAGTCAATATATATTCTCCTGAATTAAAAGACATTTACTGTTCAAACTTTATCATCTATCTATATATACTTGTTGAGATTTCTCTTGTCAATATAAAGAAATTCCTTTCTTCTTCCTCTTCTTCAACAACGTTTTCTAATTGCTCTCTTCTTTTTCAATGTTTTCTTCTCTTTTTATTTTTCTAGGTATTTATACAATTTTTAAAACTTTCAACTATAAGTGCACGTGTTTGAAGTGATAAGCGCACGTGTTTGAAGTGATAAGCGCACGTGTTTTGAGTGAAGTTTATAATCCTGATTCTAGAACATGCTTTTGTTCGCTTCCTGCTGCTCCTGCTAATGTTGTTGCTACCTCTTCTTTTGCTCCTTCGATACGTGCCTGATCGAAGTCTTGCTTTATTCATATTTTTCCTGAAAAAGTCATACTTCTACTCTCTTTCTTTCATCGCATTCCTGCTAAAGTTACTGCTACCTCCTCCTTTAATTTGCTCATTCGATACGTGCCTGATCGAAATCTTACTTTATTTATATTTTTTATTGAACGGTCATACTTCTGCTCTCTTTCTTTCCACATTTCTATTCAATTGAAATCTCTTTTAAAATAGTGATTTGCCACGATATAATATTTTTAATAATTTATTTGTTATTTTAATTCTAATTTATTATCAATATCTTACTATTTTCCTATCTGAAAGTATTTTATCTTACATAGATGGAAAATAATTATTGTAAATTTTACTGTAGTTATGGACATGCACAAATAACAATTATAGTATCATCATTCATCAGTTATAAAAGGTATGCAATAATTTTTTCACTTATATAGGCAAAAAAAATTAAAATAAAGAGTTCTTTTTCTATGTGAAAGAAAAAAGAAAAAGAAAAAAAAAACTTTTTGTGCAAAGGCCAGTGGTATTTCCGTGATATTAGAGAAACATAAGGGTATTTTTATACATCCCCGATATACAAGCGTCAACAGTGACGTGTCCGTTCTCATCAATAACAAAATAAAAAACGAGTCTCTAGCATTTTGATAAAGAAACACACGGTACTTCAATCTCGGCCGTTCATTTGTATCCACGTCATCGATCCGTGTTTCTCAAAATCAGCGGTGGTAAATTACCCTCTCAACAAACACATATTAACCATGACTCTGGTTAGTTAACTCAACCCTGATTACTCTTTTTCTCCCAACCCTGACTCGACCTCGAGTTTTCTCGACTCGCCTCCCCCAATATCAAGCGATAGTGTGTAAACTTGTTAGAGAGAGAAACTAGAGAGAGAAAGAAAAAAATTAGGTTTTCTATGCATTTTCCTGCGCCGACGAAGAAGATACCGGGAAAGTTTGAGGTATTTTGAACTTTTAACGCTGTTTAGTTTCGACGTTTTGGCTCTCGGATATCGTTTTTGGTGGTCCTGTAGTTTTTCTGAAAATTTGTATTTATATGAGTTGTGGTTCTGATTGATGGACGAGATTTGGGAAAGAGCGGTGGAGACGGCGTTAGACGGCGAGAGAAACTTTGGTTCTGTGAGAACCCTAACGTTGGACGGAGCGGTGAAGTGTATTCATGGTAAGTTGGCTCCTCCGTCGATTTTCGAAAGGTTTCAGAATCTAGAGCACCTTTCGATTGCAAACACCGGTGTTACATCGCTTGAACAGTTTCCTAGGCTTCAGAATCTACAGAAGTTGAATTTATCGGACAATAGAATTGCTGGAGGGCTTGAGTTCCTTGTAGAGGCTGGTTTAAATTCTCTTAGGGACCTTGATTTGTCTAATAACCGGATTCAGGATATCGATGATCTTCGGCCTTTCGCTGAACTCAGGCTTGTCTCGCTTGATCTCTATGAATGTCCCGTGACGAGGGTTAAGGATTATCGATCTAGGGTTTTTGGTTTGATTAGGTCGTTGAAGTATTTGGATAAGATGGATGCAGAGGGTAATGAGAGGCCTGAATCGGATGATGAGGAGGAAGATGAAGAGGAGGATGAAGAGGATGATCCAGGGAGCGGGGAAGTTGATGGAGAGGATCGTCCGTTCAGGATGACGAATGGACATAGGGTTGAGAGTGAAGGGGTCGTAGATGTGGATGAAGAAGAGAGTGATGCTGATGAGGAGGAGACAGAGATAACTAGAGTGACTAATGGGTCAAAAGGGGATGGTTCCAGTCACTCAAACGGTTTTAGAGTAGAGGCAGCTTCTGATGGAGAGGAGGATGATGACGACGAGGATGATGAAGATGAGGACTTTGTGGAGGAGATAGATGAAGAGGGAGATGAAGATGATGTTGTGGAGGTTCATGAGATAGAAGACAGTGATGAGGATGAAGATGGTGTGGAGGATGATGATGATGACGACGATGACGATGAGGATGAAGAGGAAGTTGATAACGATGATGGGGATTTTGCTGAGCCCGAAAGTACTGGGAGGTTGAATAGCACAGAAGGAGAGATTGATGGGCATGAACATGGGGAAGATGATGCAGATGAGGATGATGATGGGGAGACAGGGGAGGAAGAGCTAGGTGTTGACGAGGATGGAGATTTTGAAGATGATGAGGATGCTGAAGATGAGGTGAAAATTTCTCCTCTTTTAGTTGGTTATTTCTTGTTTCATTTTAATGTATCACATGCCATAACTTGTTTTGTTTAATGTCTTTTGCTTGTTGCATAACTTATTCTGCATTCTTTTTTCTGATGGGTGAATTGTTTATTTTGTGTTAAGCTTTGTTGTTTCTCTTGTTATTAGTTTTATGAAAATGCATGATTGATTTGCTTACTACTGCTAAAGAATTGTTGAGTTCATAATGTTTTGGAACTCCATAGTGATTAATCAATTTGTACACTGATTGCTTTTGGAAATACCAGTAATTTTGGCTGACTTGTTGGTGGGATCTGCCCTCAGGTTACTCTGAACCTGGAAGTTTGGTGTACAGATTGATTCTGTTACCTTCAAAACCAAGCTGATTTATTAGATTATGGTGGTGTGTAATATATATTATTCTGGTTGAAGCTGTGTATTCTACAAAATATCTGATGCAGGTACCCATCTAGGATTAATCATTCCGAGTCTACCTGAACTATAATTTTGTTTAGAAAACTGACTAGAGTCACTAGCTAATTGATTTTAATAGACGAATCAAAACTTGCAAGAAGATTGTTGAATGGTGTCGGTTTTATAATTTATATGATACTTGCAGCTTTATCTACGTGCTCTTCCTTTAGTTATATGATTATATTCTGCGTGGCCAGTCTAATATCCACTGGGAACTTTGATTTTGGCTGAGATTGTAACTGTATTTTGTTTTCTTACCCAAATAGTAAATTGTGATTTGTTAGGTGAGAGTTTTGAGGGTTCTTTTTCAATTTTTGTGCTTGCTATTATACTAGAGGAGCAAATGTTATGAGGTTCAAAGTGAAAAAAATTTAGGTGATTTTCCATGTCTTTGGTGTTGCTGTTGTGCTATTATTTCCCCCCCTTCTACCTGAATGGCTTGCTGTTTTATGCACTATCTCTTGATTCCCATTGAGCTTCGCTTGAAACAACTCCCCTGAATCTGTTTTTTGGTCTTCCGCTATTGGCATACGGTACTAGTATCCTTTATTTAAAGAAAAGAGGGCAGGGTTATGGTGTTTTTAGTCCTTTCATCTTTTTGTTGATTGTAAGTTGATGTCCTAAAAATTAAACTTTGACACTGTTTTCTTTGATTTCTCTCTTTTTTGCCATCATTATCCCATTCTTCAAGAAGGTGACTGTCAATTGCCAACGTATAGGGAATCTTACCTTTAAATGATGTCTATTTGCCATCCTTTTTTATCAAGTGATTATCCCAAGTTAAAATTCATTTTCTTGTTTTCCACTTCTTTGCTATTTGTATACTGTGTTTCTTTTCTGGAAGGGTCTGTCAAATTGCATTGCTGAAGTCTATGGGTAATTCGACCTTGTTGCATCCACTGCTTGTGTTCCTTTGTTCTGTTTTTTCTGCATGTATTGGTTATTTTTGTCTTCTTGCTTCTGCTATGATCTTGTTTGACTCTGTATTCACCTCTTGGAAAAAACTGTATTTTTTTTGTGGCATAGTTGGGGTGATCATTATTATCTTGTTGTGTGTCAAAGTTGTGTTATGGATTTTGTAGTTGTTGAGTTACTTTTATTTTTGATATGGTGGTAAATAGGGAGGTTTACTGATTTTGTTATGAATGGCAGGAAGAAGATAATGGGAATGGCTACCTTGTTCAACCAGTTGGTCAGGTTGTAGTAGATGATACCGAAGGCAGTGATGTGGAGGCAGTAATTGGGGATGAAGATGCGGATTTGGAGGAAGATGTTGATGATGAAGAGGATGATGATGGTGAAGTTCAGGAGCAGCCACCATCGTCCTCTCAGAAGAGGAAGAGAGATGATGAGGATGATGATGGCGGGGACGACAAAGACGACGAAGAAGAAGAGTATTCAAAGTCATCCAAGCACCGTTAGAAGCAATATCTGAAAGTGATGATGGTGGTAGTTGACTTTTGAGCATGTCTTTGTTGGATAGCAACAGATGTTTTGGTGGGAAATTCAGGTGTAGGATGATGGATGATATAGAAATGTTCAAAAGGTGGTTAGTAAATATTGGCGGTCTTGGTTTGGGTGCAGTAGCCGTTGCTTAATGACAGTTATTCATGAAGAGGGAATCCTAGTTTGTTGGAGGGGAATTTGAATTTGATGGGAAAATCTTTGGCTAGTTCTGCTATAGTAGTAGGTGATAGAAACTCTTTATTTTCTTCTTAAATTAAAAAGGAATGCTTTGCTGCCTTTTAATATGGGGGATAGTTTGAAATTGGCTTTGTAAAACCGCTTTGTGGATAGTTGTCTCTGTTAAGTGTGACCGTTTATGACTGTTGAGATGATGATGAGCCTACTTTTACATTAGAGCGAGCTAATATTTTTTGCAACTCGCAGGTGGTGCCAGATGTCAGTCAGCTAATTGTGTTTGCTCTCCATTTCCATGTGAGCGAGAGGAACGATGACATGATATGATAACCCACCGGCTCAGAATATATTTCTATTTAATAAAGAAAAAGAAAAAAGAGAAAGCAATGGTCCCAATCCAACAAAAAAGGAAAAAAAATTCCCTGCTTATTTTGTGCAACTAAAAAAATGCTGTTTTTAACCCACTTGGCTTGAGATGGGATTGGTTGTGTCGTCGGATTAATGGGCTTGGAAGCCCAAAATGATGGAAGAGAATGGGCTACAAGGAAAGGTGAAAATGGTCAACTTGGGCTTGTATGCGCGTGAGCTTCACGAAGCCGCAATGGCATTGCTGGTTGATCGTTCTAATGGGATTTGATTCCACTTTGTTTATGTACAATTTTTAAAGCAAAATTACGAAGACATGTAGCGCGTGCGCTTGGATTTGTATTAATTTATTCAATTCAAATGAATGCAGACTACATATTCTCTCCGTCTCTCTTTTAGTAGCCCCCCCTCAATTATTTCCAGACTTCAATTTAAACATAGTATTTTAGTTTTTGAAAATCACGACTTTAATTAAAACATAGTATTTTAATTTTTGAAAATCACGTAATTAAAATCTAAGTACAATTATTTGGTGGTAAGCGTTTGATTTTTTGCACTTGTAATTATCATGAAATCCCCAATTTTTATTTTTTAAAAAATAGTAACACAAAAAAATAATAAAAATAAATAAGTAGGCAAAAAATTACTATATTGCAACGTCCCATACAAATACTAGATTGTGTTTTCTTATCAGGAACTCAAATATATCAAAATGTTACTCTTTGTATCTCCGAAATGTGTTCTCCCGTCAAAAAAACAAGAGCCCTACAATCCCAAATCAACACATCTCAAGATCCAATGTATGTCTAAGTCTAACCAAACAACCCCAATCGAAAAAATCGCCATAGGTGGTGGACTAATATCCACACCAGTAATTGGATGGTCACTTTACACTCTAAAAACAACAGGATGTGGGCTTCCACCAGGACCTGCTGGTTCAATTGGAGCAATTGAAGGTGTAAGTTACTTAGTTGTGGTGGGTATTGTGGGTTGGTCATTGTATACCAAGTCCAAAACCGGGTCGGGTTTGCCTAATGGACCATTTGGGTTGTTGGGTGCTGTTGAAGGGTTGTCTTACTTGTCGTTGTTGGCCATTTTGGTCGTCTTTGGGTTGCAGTTCTTGGAACAAGGTTCCATTCCTGGGCCACTCCCTACCGATCAATGCTTTGGCTAACATTTTATTAGTCTCAGGCGCGTCGAGATATGAGTTTAATTTTTAAGGTTTGTAGCGATGGAGTCATTGTGTTTTTAAAAATTATGAGTTTGTATCTATGGTTTATTGTAGTTTTCATAAATTTGCACTCCACCATGAAAGTATTGGATTCAGATCATGGACATATATATCTCTCTCTGCAAAATTAAGTTATTTATATATGTACTTTTTAATTGATACAATATTATCCGTTGTAGTTCATCTCAAAAATATTGAATGTTGAGTTATTTGTCTGTAATGGAGATTAATTTTTACTTAGTACTTTTTTTTAATGGTGTACTTGTATTAGAGAAATTTTACATGTTTCTATAATTTACAATAAAAATAGAACAAGAGTTGTACTTTTAACATTTTTACTTTACTTTTGAGTTTGTGCTTTTTTTTTTTGGTTGGTAAAGTAGATATTATTATAAGCTATTAAACTGGTTCCAATTAGAGTTTGTTACTTTTGAGTTTGTGTTTTGGTACTTTGGTATAGGCCATTGAATTGTTATCCAATGTTATGTGGTCTTGGTTTGTCTAGGCAAAAAATCAAAGGGACAGGGTTCTGTTCATTCATTTTTTTTTTCTCTTCAAATAACTTAACAATCGAAATTATATTTAGCAAGACATTGGTTTTTAAGGATATAGAACATACCTTATAATTATAATACAATAATATAAACTTATATTTATATAAATTTTATATATATATATATATATATATATATATCATTCAGAATCCAATATTAAATTCTACTTGCCTCATACGAATAGTACAGGATTAATACATAATCATATATTATATATATTTGTTATACAAAGATTATATTAATCATGTCGTATGTATATAATACACATATTCTTTTTGTCATTTTTATTTGTTAGACTAATACTACTTCTTACTTGTTGTTTATTTTTTTTGGATTCATATACGTCGATTTCAATCAGGAGTAGGGATAAACTAGAGTTACAAGTAAACATGATACCCTTAGCCGAACTAGAAAACTATTGACAATTGTTAGGTCATTAGAGAATTGGGTCTCCTCCAAATTTGAGGTGTTTAAAAGCACAAAAATTTGAGTGAGAGGAAAGAGAGAAAGGGACTTTCTCCCTAAGAAGGGAAAATCACATTGTTAGTCCCAATAAGATTTCTCTCTCCCTTTGAGAACCCTTCATTTTCGGTATTCATTCAGGTACATATTTTCTATTTTTATTACCTTTTTAATTTCTTTACTACAAAACTCCATTAACCAACTTCAATATAATTCAAAACGAATGAATATGGCAAACCTTCAATGAATCTTAATGCATATTGTATATATGCATTGTAATGTTTGAAGGATCTTGACTTAATTCAATTCGTTACATACGAATAATTTGTGTCACATTTTTTCTTTCATGTTGATGTGTGCAAGGTAATTTTTTTTTTCTTTGCATGGCAATGTATTAGGGGAATTGAGGAATTGTTGAGACAAACAATTAAGTGATTTTCCGGCAGCAGTTGCGTGTAGATTTCACGCACAATCTTGGCCGGAAGGTCAGCGTTTGGTTAACATGGAAGATTCTTCTCCTTCTCCTTCAAATTCTTCTTCTTCTTCGCCCCCTCTTGACTCTTCTCCCCCTCCTTCTCCTCCTGAATCTTCTCCACCACCGCCAAAATCTGACTCTTCTTCACCTCCACCACCAAAATCTGACTCTTCTTCACCTTCACCTCCACCATCGAAATCTGACTCTCCTTCACCACCACCCCCTGAATCATCACCACCACCGAAATCTGATTCATCTCCTCCTCCTCCATCCCCTAATCAATCACCCCCACCAAAATCCGAATCATCTCCTCCTCCTGCATCACCACCTCCTACAGAATCTTCTCCTCCTCCTCCATCATCTACAAATTTTTCTCCTCCATCGCCGAAATCATCTGATTCTTCTCCTTCTGATGACAATGACAACCCTAATACACAATCACCACCACCCTCCTTGAACTCTTCATCATCATCCCCACCACCAACCACGAACACCAAACCCTCTCCTTCCAAAAATACCTTCTTTAACGAACCTAATTCTCCTCCATCATCTACATTCTCTCCACCCACTCCAGAATCATCTCTATTTCCATCTGAAAAGGCGTTACCTACTTTTCCACCTTCACGAGATAATGCATCATCGAATAAATCACCTGGTAATTCCTTAGGAAGCAATAACTCGCCACCACATGAACAATCATCTTCCTCAACTGTCGCAATAGTAGCTGCAGTATCTGTGACAGGTCTATTAATTTTGGCCGTTGTCATTGTCTGCCTATTATGTAATAGAAAGAAGAAGAAACAACCATACTATGTCGATCCTGCACATCCACCAAAAGGTATGTTAATTATTATCTCAATTTCCCATTTTCACATAATGATTATTTACGCACAAGTTCAACTGAATCAATAACTTTTCATTTAGACATAGATATACATATCCTTCAAGATTAAATCTTGAATTCGTCTTTGAAATTAAACGTTATTGTAAGAATATTACATTGTATTTTCCTTAATTATTCAACTATGAAGTCAGATCTTTTTATAAATTAGGGTTTATTGATGTTGTCTTGTTGTATGTAACACCTATAGAAATTAAATAAGATGTTTTATATCGTCAATGTATATAAGTAAAATATATCGTACAATATAACTAAGTATCATTGGGAATTAGTGTAGGTGGTGATCCTTACTACAATACGGGCAATTATTCTAGTCCTCATACGGATCACATTGTTACATTAGCTCCACCACCAGGTGTAATGGGAACTCCTCAAGAAGGGGGTCGCGGGTGGACCCCGCCACCCCCTCCTCCAGCCGCGAATACGAGCAGTGAATTTAGCTCAGGTTATTCAAGCCATGTACCTGGAGGAGGGCCAGCTACAATACCATCTCCTAATTATGGTGGACTATCAAAAATTCAATTCACTTATGCTGACTTGGCAACCGCCACGGGTGGATTTTCGGAAGCAAATGTGTTGGGTCAAGGAGGGTTCGGATTCGTGCATAAAGGTGTTTTGACAGATGGAAGTGTAGTCGCGGTTAAGAGTTTGAAGTCCGGGAGCGGACAAGGAGAGAGAGAGTTTCAAGCTGAAGTAGAGATTATTAGTAGAGTTCATCATAGACATCTTGTTTCACTTGTGGGATATTGCATTGCTGATGGACAACGTATGTTGGTATATGAATTTGTTTCAAATGGAACTTTGGAGTATCACCTTCATGGTACGTATATTTATTTAGCTACAATATTTTGTTTCGAATATAATTTATGAGGACTAATATTTTTGTGGCTATTTCTAGGTACTAGACACAATTTTCACACCTATAGTTGAATATATGTAGATGTGACACATTTTTAGTTTTATTTAGAAACTTTTTTTTGTTTTTGTTTTAATAACATGCTAAAGTCTCTTTTCTTTGTCTTCTTTTTTTTAAAAAAGATTTTGTTATCTGTCAAATACTGTCATATGAAATGAAATAGAAGGAGTGTATTGACTATTTATCCACTCAAAGTTATTTAACTAGTGATTGCTGAGAGAATAAGTCGATGTTGGTTAATGGTGTGAAATAACATTTCCTGATATCGAAATTTCAAAAAATTTCTAATTAATATAAAAAATATTTAATTGTTGAAATACATTTTTGAGCAATTTAAGTATGAAAATCGAAATTAATTGTGTGGTGTGGTTGCAGGTAAAGGTCGACCTGTTATGGACTGGGGCCTTAGGCTTAAAATTGCTTTGGGATCAGCCAAGGGATTGGCTTACCTCCATGAAGATTGTATGAAAATTCCCTTTCTACCCTCTCGTTTCGAGTTAATTTCATGAAAAATAACTAAATTTCATCCACTATAATAACAATAATATCACAAAATTATCTTTCATCACGTTAAATAATTGAAATTTCATTTCTTATAATGCTAAAATTACAAAACTATTTATATGCAGGTCATCCTCGAATTATCCATCGTGACATCAAGGGTGCAAACATTTTACTTGATAACAATTATGAAGCCATGGTAAAAATGAGACATTTTATAACTTTCATTTGTATACGTATATTTTTTTTTGGTTATGCCAATAAAATAAAAAAAAGATTTACAATAATGTTTTTTTTTTGTTTATTAGGTGGCTGATTTTGGATTAGCTAAACTTACCGAAGACAATAATACTCATGTCTCCACTCGTGTTATGGGAACTTTTGGGTAAGAAAATTATATTTTCCCAAAATATTTACGCCGCGTAATTCATACTTTGTATGTAAACACGTAATTTAACTTATATTTGTGTATAAACATCTTTTATACACTTTATACAAGGTTGATATATTAGATACAATTTTGATCAGAAAAATAACAACTAATATAAGACAGACCGAACAATAGACGTAATTTTATCTATTTCATAATAAAAACCCAATAAAAGTTACTAATAAATTTTGTTATATTACAGGTACTTAGCTCCAGAATATGCATCAAGTGGAAAATTATCAGAAAAGTCAGATGTATTTTCATTTGGAGTTATGTTATTGGAACTTATAACTGGAAGAAGACCTTTGGATACTACCAATAAACTCATGGATGACAGTCTAGTAGATTGGGTAATTAATTTAATTTTTTCCTCATTTTAATATATTCTTAGAATTCTGAATCTATAGTTTATACGTTCCGAATTCTAAAAAAGATAGTTTAGTGATACTAAATAATATTAATAATTATTATATATATATACATATATATTAAATGAATTTCTTCATAACTTGAACTCCAACTCTGTCACTACATAGACATTTCATCTTTTCTATTATACATGAGGGTTTGGTAGTTATAATTCTATTACAAATGACCTTTTATGAAATTTTATTCTTTTATTCAAATTGTAACGGATTATCTTGTATCATGTCCTTCGTGAACAGGCTAGACCTTTCCTTACGAAAGCACTAGAAGAGAATAATTACGATGAGTTGGTAGACCCGCGACTAGAAGGAAACTATGATCCCGATGAGCTACAAAGGATGGTAGCTTGTGCTGCTGCTAGCGTGCGCCATTCTGCTAGAAGACGTCCTAAAATGAGCCAGGCAAGTCCTCTAAACTCTATATATTACAACAGTATTTTGTTCCTCGCATTAAAGTAACTGAATTTAAGTACCCACTATCAACAAAATCATACTAGTATTCATTTTTGTTACATTAAAATAACTAAACTATATGTGAATTTTTGGAAAGTCAAATTTCTTGCCCCAATGTCTTTTGGCCGCCCCCCCCCCCCAAAAAAAAAAAACTTATTATTTGTATTTTCTAAAATTTGACCTTCTCGTCATTTGTATTTTTTGAGTAATACACATATATAATTCAATTACTTTACTGTAACGAAAATAAGTATCATGACTTTACTGTTCAGTGAGCTAGTAACAAACAAAAGATATATAGTTAATGACTATATTGTTATAGAGAGTAAAGTTTAAGTGACCATACATGAAATTAGTTATATTATAGTGTTACATTTTGCGCTTATACATATTATTATGATAATTCAGATTTTACGTGCCTTGGATGGCGATTCATCTTTGGAGGACTTAAATGAAAAAGCTGGCAAGAACAACACGGCTAATTTTGGCGGTGCAAGTGGGCCCGCCTCGGATCTCTACGACACATGTGCATACAATGCTGACATGGTGAAATTTAGGCAAATGGTGATGACAAGTCAAGATATGAATAGTAGTGAATATGGTAACACAAGTGATTATGGACTCCATCCTTCTGACACTAGCAGTGAATTCAGCAGTGATTATAATCATTCTGGAGCACACAAGCAAGCAAAATGATCAATTTGATTTAAGGTGGAAGAATCGGGGTGTTGTTCGGACTCTGCAAAAATGTTGTCGTAGTATATGTAGGTGACATTTTTAAAGAGTTTGAAAGTAACATTGTTTTATTGAGAAAAAGGAGACTCAAGTATGGAATGGTTAAGTTCCTATATATATATATATATATATATACATTTACATAGGAAGTTAATGAAATATAATTACTACTAATTTAATTAGTTTTAATGTGCATATGATAATTGTAATATTATGCACGAATTAACCGGAAAAAAAAGAAAAAAAAAGATTGTTATATATATTTTGACGTTTTGTATCGATTATAGAATGCTGAACAAAATGATTATCAAGAACAAATACCTTATGCCTCTTATTACAGACTTTTTTGATCAGTTAAGTGGAGCACGATACTTCATAAAGTTAGATCATTTGTGAACAGGGTATTATCAAGGGCGTATTTTCGAGGGTGAACATATTTCTTTTTCTCGTGTTGGCTTTGCAAGTTCTTGCACAACTTTGATTTTATAAGTGTATTATATATTACTATATATTTATTATTTAATTTTTTTTTTTGTAGGGATTGGGAAAACTAATGAGAGATGAAACCTATGTGTTAAATTGACTAATTTTCAAAGTAAATACGATTTTAATCAAAAGTACTTATTTTATGTTATTAATCACATAAATTATCTTTTTATTAATTTGTGACCCAAAAATAGGGGATGATATGTATGCTTCGGGTTCAATTGAATTTATTAGTTTTGATCTAATTATTGAAATTGTCTTAACAAATACATTAAATATGTATATTCTAAGGTGATTTGCAACAAATATATACTTTATCGAAAAAGCTTTATTAAGGGGTGTTATTTTTAGATGATTATATTAGATATTGTAAGATAGATATTTATTTCAAACAAATTAAAAGAGATGACCAAACAACATTAATGAAAAAGAGAGGAAATAATGGAGTACCTAAATTAAAATAAATTCAAAAACATTATGAATACGAACCATCTAAACAAGAATTCTTGAACGATGAATAGCCGATTTAGATCAAAATTAATCTTCAATATCTCCATCCTTGAACAGGCCATCGTCTATAAGGATCGGGAAGAAACGTAGGCTGCCTTATTTTCTTCTTTTCCACAACCAACACTTCATCCGGCTTTTGTTGGATCTCACCATCTCTTTCCCTACACATAAAGTTTCAATAATTATTGATGATCTATATGTTAAAATTGCTGAAATTTTTGTAAATATGTTCTAAACCATAATTTCAACTCAATGTACAATTATTTTATTTGATCAATTTGATGTGTATTTTCGTTTATTTCTTTTTTTTCTGGAGCATTAATTTGACTAATCTTTAAAATTAAGGATTAGATCAATTCAAAAAAATTTAAATCAAAATTTAGATATTCAAAAACTGTACAAATATATTATAAGTTTCAATTCTCTAGAAACGAAAAGTGTCACATAAATTGGGAAACTGGTCACAACCAAAAGGTACTAAAATAAGACAAAGGTTGATCATCACACGACTATTTTTCCATCGAAATTTCTTACTGAAAAATGTTCAATGACTATTCCCACGGATATTTTAATTGAATTAGTGAGAAAAGAAAAAATGGTTAACGGATATTCTCAGTATTTCAATGAGAATCTGTTTTTCACCATGCCTTTTCCAGCTAGTCGATTTGATGGGAATGGGATGGAAAAATCATGTTTTATAGCACAAATTTTCTATCGATTCACAAGAAAAAACCTTTGTTTCTAGTAGTCTACCTCCGACCATAAAGTTGCAGGTTCGAGTCACATCAAGAGTAAAAAAGTGTGAGCTCCTAGGAATAGATGATGAAAAAAAATGAGTGCTAAGATAAAAGATTATTAATCTCACCATGATGAAGATTGCATCTTCTTCTTGTTCATCTTATCCACCACTTCCATAGACTTTTCCCCAACACCAACATGACTTTCTTCACTTGTTGTCATTTTCTTGAAAGAAAATACCTTCATTAGAAATACCCATGCTTTATTTTTCTTCTTCTTCCACTTACGTCTTATTATTGGGATGGCCTCATCATCATCATCAATAATTTCAACATGTCTCATAGATTGTGATATTCTCTCATAATAATCAGTATCTCCACAAGGAATATTAATTAACTCTGATGCTAATAGTGTGCTTTTGCTTCTTCCTAACTTTCTTATTGATGATTTTCTCTCTAGCTTCATGTTCAAATCCATTGTTACAATTCTTGATTTGTTTGGCTACTCACCTTTATGCTTATTGGCTTTTGTGCAAGGGGAGAATATATATTATTTGGTTATGTTGTTTAAAGTGGTTGGCAACAAACTAGGTAGCTTATATTTTGCATCTTTGACTTAATATGGTACATAGTATTTGGAGATGATTAGGCAAAAAGGATACTTTAAAAACTTAATTTGCAAAATAGATGTATAATTTATTTTTCATTTAAAAAGCTCCTTAATTTTGAAATTTAAAGAGTTTGAGGCAAGATTTCAAGTTTATTAAAATATACTTATATTTCTTCTTCTTTTTTCTAAAAGGCATTATACATAAATGTGCCTTTTAATTTGGCCTCATTTCACATTTATGTCCTTCAATTTTGGGTGTGCACAAATAGACAGTTAAACTTGTATAAAGTTGAACAAGTAGATACATGAGTCCTACATGACATAATACATGTAGGACATTACGTAGAATAAAAATTGTCACGTAGGATATCACTTAGGACATATATGTCTATATATAGTATAGTACTATTTTGTTATGTTGTTTAAAGTAGTTGGCAACGACTAGGTACCTTGTGTTTTTGCATCTTTGACTTAATATGGTACGTAGTATCTGTACTTATTCTACTTCTTTTTAATTGAAATTTAGTACTAAATAAATAATTAAAAAGTAGAGGGGTCTAGACCAATATATACATCCTTTTTTCTTTTCCTTTTTTTTTTTAAGGTATGATTTGGTTGCGGGAATTATAAATGTAGAGATTATATTATTTATGTACAACAACAACAACAACAATGCAGTATACTGTAATTTCACAAGATACATCTACGGAGGGTGATGTGTACGTAGTCCTATCCTAACTTTGTGAAGGTAGAAAAACTGTTTTCGATAGACCATTAGCTCAAATAAAACATATCAAACTTAAGTATAAAAAGAGCAACAAACAAAATTATTTATGCACACGTGGTGTATAATTAATAATCAACGGATTAATGTAATATAGTGAATAAAAATATAAAAATACCTAGCGATGTAATAATAATACAACTAATGGTATGTATAAATTACCTTAAAGACATATATTTGTCTTTAAGCAGTTCTGACCTATCGTTAACACACGTATTCTTTACATTTTATCCGACATAAAATTATTTACATGGATCCCAACTTAATTTAGTAAGATATTATTTAATACCATAAACCAAAACATGTATTAATTGTACATAGATTTCTTTTCTTATACAACTAATCAAATATTGTGTTAGCTATATGAGATTATTTTTTATAACGTAACCAAGTCAACCAAACTTGGTAGTGGTACTATTGTTTTTTTATGTGTTTTAAGTTTGTCAATATGGTAAAATGTGCCTCTCAATGTTGTTTAAAAGTGGGTTAAGTAAAGATCATTAGTACTTAGTAGTATTCTATAATGCCTGATAATTAATTAATTCAGTGTTAAATTAACTAATTCGAATAATAGAGTGTGGTAGGTTGTGGACATTTTTGTAAATTAATGGTAACTTGAAGTAGTCTTTTCTTTTGACTCCTCAATGTCGAAACGCTCTAAAATTCTATGCGTAACTTTTTTGAAAAATAAAATTGTCTTGATCTGATTTTTTCACGTCCAAACCAAAAAAACATTCAATTTGGACCAAAATTTTCATTTCAAAACAAATAATCATCAACGTATAATAATATCAAAACAACTTAAATAATTATTTTAATTTGGTAATTAAATGTGATAACAAAAAAAGGCAATAAGTTGCACTTATTTGTTGCGTTATAGGTCTCTGTCCCAAATTATGTCATATTTCGTTAATTGAAATCAAATTAAGTGGAATTTGACCATTTCAAAATTAAATATATATTTTTTAATCAAATTAACATGAAAGGAAATTACAATCTATAATAATATCGTATAACATTTGAATATCTAAAATTTAATTATAAAATGTTGGGTTAATATGATGCAGTTTAGGTTTGAAATTAGTCAAGTTAATTCTCGAGATTCAAATTATGAAAATTCATTTCGAATGGGGGGAGTATAATTTAAATTTTTTTACGTATTTGAAAATTTGAGCCTCGTAATTCTTGAGGCGTATGCATGTTTATTTCGATTGAAATTTCATCTACTCAAAATGTATCAATCTCGTCATTTTAATTGTATTTAGGTATTTTTATTTGTAATATCATTATACAGTATATTGTAAAATATTTCTATAAAATAAGTATTTTTGATAAGTTCATCGACAAGGAGATTGAAGCTCAATCATTGGCCAAAAGCAAAGTTTAGTGTCAAACTAACATTTCGTGCCAACCCTAAGGGGCTCTCTATATAAGTAATTGATTCATGAGTATATTTGATTAATTTGGCGCATAGTGTAAATATGTGCCTTTTTGTATTGTATCCTACTCAACTTTGCCCTTGTGCTATTGTATAGTTAACTTTGGTCAATTTTTCGGTGATGATAAAATGGTCTCCGTGTTAACAGGGTTGTCTTAACCCCTAGGCCATCAAAGCAGTTGCTTGGGGCCCTATTGATTTTTGGTCTATATTAATAACGAAATCATAAAGTCCTTTGAAATTAGAGTTGATTACTTTATTTTATATATATATAGATAGATAGTAGATCAAGTTATTTTTTCACTTCAAAATAGATTTGAACCAATTGAAGCATGTGAAAATATTTCTGGTTTCTTATTTAGTGGTAAATTGAGATCACTAGATGATGAGAATTAAAAAAAGACATTGTCTGAACCTTGAACTTTCTTTAACACATAATAGTTATTTTGATATTGATGGTTTAGATTTATTTTTAAATTAAAAGTGTTAAGAGAAACAATACAAGTAGAAGATAATGATCTAATAAAAATATTCAATCAAATAAAAAGACTTGATTCTTTTCCAACTACACATATTGCTTATAGAATAATGTTAAAAGTTCATGTAACCATTGCCTAAGCCGAAAGAAGTTTTTCAAAACTAAAATTGATTAAATCTTATTTAAGATCAACAATGTCTCAAAAGAGCTGATTGAATGGATTAGCTATATTATCAATTGAAAATGAATTATTAAAACAAATCAATTATACAACAGTAACTAATTAATGACTTCACATGTTAAAAAACTAGAAAAGTAGGTTTTAAATAAAAATATATATAGTGAAAACAACAAAATATTAGGACCCCTCTCTTAGATTTTGCTTTAGGCCCCTTGTCTTGTTGAGTCGGTTCCGTCCGTGTAAAAAAAGGGAGCAATGCAAGATACTCGGGTTAAGCCACTAAACTAAAGATAGCTAAAGGTGACATATTGAAGCTTTAATTAATTTCCTTAATGGGTTAATCCTCTACTCCTAAAAGGTTTTTATATCTAGTTACTCCGATTACTATAAGGTTTCCAAAATAAACAACTTATACTACAAATATATCTAAACCTTTTCCGTTTTAATTAATTAGCACATCCATTAATTTCCTTAATCCTACTCCTAAATGGTTTATATATCTAATTACTCCCATTCCTATAAGGTTTCTAAATTAACAACTCTTATATATATTTAAACCTCTAATTGTGCCTTGTACAAAACCTTCAATTCAACACCAATACACCCAACAACAAAAAATGGCAAATATTACTAATTACGTAGTGATTGCAATAGTCTTTTTTCTTATTTTGTTATTTTTCTACAAATTAACGAAAATGTTGTTGTGTTATAGAGTTAAACAACGACCATGGTCGAACGATGTAGAAGAATTCGTGCTTCCTAACGATGAAGATGAATTTGTATCGACAACACAAAGAACAACAACTATTGTTGAAGTAGTGATTGATATTTCAGATGAAACAATAACGACTCCATCAATTAAAGGGAAAAACAATGAGTGTTCTATTTGTATTGAAGAAATTAAGCATTGGGAGATGTTTTTGATTTTTCCAATTTGTTGTCATAGGTTTCATTATGCTTGTATTAGGCCTTGGTTAGAAGAAAATAAGACATGTCCTATGTGTCGTACTCATGTTCGTGATGCACCTTTGCAATATGCTGGGGATGACGATGATTTAATGGAGGACGATAATCATCAAGATTTACAGTCAAGTGAAATAGTTTGAAATTTTCACACAATAGGTGTATGAGTTTTTTTTCGTTCTTCTTTCTTTTAGTGGAGGGGCCGGGTGGGGTGAGTAGGAGATGTTTTTCCTAAATCTAATTGTAATAATTTTTAAAATTTCAATCACGTGTGTTTGAATTATTATTTTTTGTAAACTATAGGAAATTAAAGTATTCTAGATCATTCATTTAGAATGTAATGTTAGTAATGAAGTTGGTTGGTTACTTGAATTTTTATGTTGGAGAGAGTTTGATTCATCACCTCGTAATCTCCTCTCAATTTCCGCCCTCTTTTGTGAAAATAATATCACCATTAGAGATTGTGCAATGGGGAACTAATAATTCAGGGTGGTGTACTAGCTAGGAGAGCTTTTTTATGCGGGATGGAACTGTTTTAAAAAAAATCAAAAGCAAGATGAGGTGGGAGGCAAGTTAAATGTATTTTTAAAAAAAAATAAATTAAACCATATAGTAAATTTATTCACACTTTGAGCTGCACTGAATTAAAAAGTGATTACAACAACATACCTAAGTGAATTAATAACTAACACAATATACCTATATAATCCCACAATTTTTTTTAAAATGATAGCTTTTATAAAATTTGTCAAGTTAGAGGACATAGAAATACACACACAAAATTAAATCTATTTTTTTTTTATGAAATCACACATAAAAATATTTTATTAGAAAAAAAATAATACATAATTTTATTATATGCTTTTCCTTAATATGTCGGAACTCCTATTCCTAAAAAGTTTCCTAAATTTTTTTAATTCCCAATCCAAAAAGACTTGAGACATATGCTTTTTAACAATCGGTTAATCCTAATAGGTTTCTAAATCAAGACTTCAATTATAAACCCTTCCCTTCCCTTTTTCCTATATTCAAAACCCTTGCTTGACACTTCTTTTTAAGTGTTTTTCATATAAATTTTTAATCCACATAA